TTTGCTCTAAAACAAACAAATTTTAGTCTCAAAGTAATTACAATCAACTATTATTTGCTTTCAAACAAACTTTTAATAACAGTGTAAGGAAGGATTTCATTGGTTCTTTACCTTTTGAAACCTGCCGACCTTTTCGATATTAGCCTCCTAATTAACCCAAGAGCAATCTCCGCATGTGGCAGCATGAACTTATTATGACTAAATTACACGCTTTGAATTATATATAAAAATATAATATATATATATATAGTACTATTGAAAAGCTTTTTTCGGACTTTCGACTGAGAACGTGTGCGTTATAACATGGACAAGTACAATGTAGATCAATGAAGTCTTGTTACAACCTTACATTAAACATCATGTATTATTTTATGATCAATGCAATTTGATTAGATTACTTCCGAAAGAAATTTCGTTACTGAAATATCCACCTCAAAGTCATTTCGCTAAATAGAGCCCTAAATAAACTTGTTTTTGATGCTTCAAAATATCAACAACCATGTTAACGGGCTCCAACTAAAGAACAAAGATACATGAAATGCGCCCCCTGATGGGGCAATGGAAAGTTGATGGACTTAAAACGCTAAAATCCGGGGTTTAATTTCCCGCAGTGGACACAGCAGATATCCTATTGGGGCTTTGCTCTAAAACAAACACGTGCGATTAAGGTTTACAGCATTATTTCTTGCAATAATAATACCATTTAAAATTCTGAAAACCATACAGCTTAAATACTTAGTGAGTTAAAAATATTTAAATTAATTAAGCTAGAAGGACAAAATAACTTATTGTATGCACTGACAAACACCTAGTATTGGTTACTAGTTATTACTAACCATATTTGCAGAGAATAAGGATAAAACAATTTAGCTACACTATGATGAAATATCTACTATGTTGAAATATTGCAATACTTGTAAAAATATATAATTCTTATTCAGATAATTTATTTTCACAGTTCTTTATACACTGTTTGTTTGTTTTGTTTGAATATCAAACTGTACAATAGAATATATGCGCCATGCCAATTAGAGAATCGAGCCCTGAATTTTAGTGTTATAAGCACTATAGATTATCGCTGAGTCAATGGATAACATTATGTAATAATTCTAGTATTTAGTGGAACAATGAAAAAAGTGCAAAGTGAAAATAATGATACCATAAATTGCATGCAATTAGTAATGTTTGAAGTCTATTGCAAGGGGTGAATCAAATTCACGGATTAAACAAACATCTCTCTCGAACTATTTCGCTTTGTACGTATAACCGTATTAGTACAGAATTAACAAACAAATTTACTGCAAAACTTCTACAATCACACAAAGGATAAATATAAGTCACATAAAAAGCATAGTCTACTATGTCTATGTGATCAAGTTAGCTTTCGATTCTCCCAATATTACATTATTCTGGTTAGTCTAGGATTTATTCCCTACATTAATTAGATTTCTTCTAATAAATATGTTTCATTATTCTGAACATTTAATTAAAATTAATGAAACATCACAATTACTGACGAAAATCTATTACATTGGATGTGAGATAAAAAAGCAATCTGTTTTCGAGAAGGTATTAACGATATTTTTACTTAATTTCCTCTTATCTTATGCACATCTGACCTACTGTTATGAATTAATGACTGATACTATCAAAACACTACTTCGTTCTGTTTTCGTTACAGAGAATAAGAAACAAAATAAAAAATAAGTTTGTTATGTTAATCTCCAAACTCAACGTAAAACCATTAGTTACAAAGAGTGACAGCTTAATTATCTTGGTGGTTTTACTTGCAATCTTTATTGCTGTTGTGTTATACATGTAACAATTCTATGTTTAAAATACCCCTGACTATTTTCATTTACATCGCACTTTAAATTAAGTTTTCAGTCGAGTTTGTATTCGCTTTAATTTTGCACGAATAGTTATAAATGAATTTTAAATACTATATTTACCTAAGTCAAACTATATTCACATATATTTCAAAGACGTATTATTATATTGTACCAAGCAAACGTAAAAAAATAAACCACGTGTTTAGAGAGCTTTTTTTTTACATTTTAATCATTTAACCTTTACTTACCCATACAACCTAAAATTCCTAGCATTTTTTATTATTTATTTACAGAAATATATTATTGTTACTTTCACTGCTTATTTGTGGTTCGAAAATATATTTTCAGATGGATTTTCTATATTATTATTCTACAAATCGGCATGCTCTTTGACTAGTTTTTTTATTCGTATTCCAATCTGCATTGTTGTTTTAATAAAAGTGTTGAAATAATGTGATTTATTTAAAGTTGCAAACAACTCGAAGAATAGCTGTATGTAGTTTCCTTCTGTACTCTCTAGACCTGCATCTCTGTTGTGATTCACTCTTTCTTTATTTTTGGATCTTGAGCGTTTCTTTTTCGTTTTGAAATTTATACATATTAACTATAAAGAATGTTGCTCAGTTTAGTGCGTTTTATCTCATAAACGGTTTGACGTAAGAAGATGGAATTCCACAGTTGTATTAAGGGTATCATGCCGATGCAAGGGCTACAGCTGTCACGTTTTGCCATAAGGCTATCGTCTAACGTTTCATCAATCACAGCAACTATTCAAAATGTACTCTTTCAGCGCCCAGAATGCATTGCACACGTGTGACAAAGGACGTTATAGCAACAACGCAGATCTCATCTGGTATGCTTGTCACTTCCCGGAGAATTACATCTTTGAGGTCTGGAATTGTGCAAGGCTTCCCACGTGACTTTATAAACTACATAAACCAGAAATCGACTGGTGTTACGCCCGGTGAACGAAGTGGTCATTCATACCCCATGTAAACGCAGTGAGAATCACATAGATTGTGAACATTGCATGGTACTCTGTGTAGTTATAATCCATGCGTTGATGTTTGTTTCTTTAAAGTTAAGCACAAAGCTATAGATTGATCTATCTGCGTTTCTGTCTACCACGGGTATCAATACCTGGTTTCTAGCATTGTAATTCCGTAGACATGCTGCTGCGCCACTGAGGGTCCATGCGTTGATAATACTTCAAAACATTATGGTCCAATTACAAATTCGGCTTTACAACCTCACAGAACTGTCACTTTAGCATCACGGAGTTGTGTAGGAAGTGTTACACTGCCTTGGCTTCCGACCAGTTAGCAGTGTTGACACTTCCAGACAGGTTAAGTGCGTTTCATCAGTCATTAAGATATTGGCAGATCATCGACTTCTAGTCTTGTCAAGTATTAAATGCAAAATCATAACTTCAGGCTAAGTCCGTCTCCTTCAGTACTTGAAAATGAACCATCTTGTAAAGAAACATTCGAAAAGTTGATCGAAGCCTTACGAACAGTTTAAATTGGCAAATAGACACTCCAGGCGACATAACGTACGATGTACCACCCATATGTACTTGTGTTGATTTGTTTTGCTGCGGCATGGCTGACCTCAACGATAGTTTCAAGTAAGTGTCGATGGTTTGACTAAACGTTGCTTATCACAAGTACAACCTGTCTCCTCATTTTTTTTTATATAATCATGCACACAGCGACACTTGAACCAGGCCATATGCAGCTGTTATGTACTCTACAGTATTCCCTGGAAGCTGCCTGGGCATTGCATCCTTTGATGTAATAATATGTGATTAGTTAACCTCTCTGCTCATGTTTCATGTTGGTTCAATGAGCTGCACTGTAATTGACAGGCCCATTTATACCTGTGGGAAAATTGCCCTAATGGGAAAAGCTGACTACTACATTTGTATCTGCATCATATCCTTAACACGTCTGTGCAATTTGACCTTTCTGTGCCACACTGTTTGTGAGATATGACACGCTAAACTGAGAAACTTTCTTTATAACTGCCCAGCATTTAACAATTAGTTTTATTTATGTTAATTAAAATTTATCATTAAAGCATTTCAGAGTGCCACACTCATTGCTTACTGGCTTACTGAATGAAAACAAAGTCAACAAAAGCAGTATTTTACCATAATATAATCATGTTTCTAACATCATATTGTTTTACTTCTGATATATTTTGAAGTAATGCTGCAATTATCTGAAATAATAAAATTTGTGAACAATGTCAGTTTATTTAGCGTGGTATATAATATTGTTATTAAAGTTCTGTAATTAGAATTACTATAGCATTATATTTCTACAAATGCCATTTTTTTGTTTCGTGTTCATTTTATTGAATTATTTCAAAAGATAAGGGTATTTACAATAATAAACAAATAAACAAAAACTGGTTTTTATGCATTAGAAAAATTAAAAAGTGAGATTTCACTGTCACTCTAATAACGCACCCATGGCCCCAAAGGGTTTGTTGTTGTTGCTTGTTTGTTGTTTGAAGTTAAGCACAAAGCTACATAATGGGCTATCTGTGCTCTGCCAACCACGGTATCGAAACCCGGTATCTAGCTTTATAAGTCCGCAAACATACCAATGGGGGGCGCCCCAAAGTGTGGAGAGCACATATCAGATTATAAAATGAAATTACTGTTTAATAGAACTATTGAATATTATTCTAAAAACAAACTGTAAAGCTGTATACATATCTTCAAAACCATCAAATGATTATGGTAACGATACATAGGCGCAATAAATCAAGTTTATTTCAGAAATATATATTTTGTTATCAAAGTAGTTCTTAACTTTAAACATGTATCATAAACTAGGTCTTTATTTTCATTTATTAAACGACATCAATGTACTGGGATATAAATGGTAATCATCTAACTGAACCAATTAAGTATTACAATTATTAGCATTTATTAATGTATTTAAAATATTTCTCTTTCTAAAATAAGATTAGTTTCTTCCATAAGCTTAATAGTAACCGTTAATGATGAAACATAAAGGTCCTTTGATACTGTTTAGTGATAGTTAGTGATGGAACATAAAGGTATTTTAATATTCTTTGCTGGTTGTTAGTGATAAAACATAAAAGTTCTTTAATATTGCTTAGTGGTGATTAATGATGAAACATAAAGGTGCTTACCATGTAGAAAGAAAACGGAGATGCTCGTGGCCTCAGCATTGGAGGGTCCACAGGTGTAGTTCCCCGAATCAGTAGGTTGAGCATTTTTTATGTACAGAGTACTGATGGCGGAATCATCGCTGGCCTTTTGCAATGATATCTCTCCACCTTCTTTGTCGTAGTTGACCATACGTTTATTATGATACCAAAATACAAACATTGGAGGCTCTGGGCTCTCACTGATGACACACGTGAGGTTAATGGAGCTTCCTATCTTCACATACATTGGATGTGGACCAAGAATTTCTGCTTTTGGTACTGAAAGTATAAGGGCAGCTTTATGTAATTTTACGTGTTTTTTAGGTATTCCACCTAAATAAACATATTATTAAAACCACAACAATAAGTTACCTTGAACTTGAATATAGGTTACTATAATGTACATTTAAATAAGCTTGTTTACTGGAAAGATGCGATACCGATTTAGGTTTTTATGAGCTCTTTGTGGATGAGAGGATAAGATCTTTCCTATTATTTTCGGAAGTCAAAACCTCAACTTTACTGCTCTTCTAGATTTGTTATCTGCAGTTGGTAGGTACAACAAAGAACCGTCATAGTGCTTCAGTTCGCTACTCTCATTGTACTCACATATAGATCATGACTTTTCAATAAACAACCTTGTCTAATAAGCGCCTTTTACTAACTTACTTTGGTTCAGCATGGCTAGATGGTTAGAGCGCTAGACTCGCAATTTGCTGGTCGCCCTAACATGCTCGCCCTTTTAGCCGTGGGAGCGTTATAACGTGACGGTCAATCCTACTATTCGTTGGTAAAATATCTACAATCCTAACGTTGGCTAGTGGATTTATTATTAGAATAAATATTTGTATTAATTGTATACCTGATTTAAATATTTCAAGACTTGATGCATCATAAGAAGCATACATCAAAAATACTTTGAGAAATCATGATCGTTATTTAACGATTTAACGTAAATTTTATGTTATTTAATAAAAACTTAAGATGTGTAAATATATATATATTTTCAGTGGACGGTTTTATACGAGGGATGTTAGGTTCTAGATATAGCTTGTTTGTTTTTTGTTGAATTTCTGCGCTAGCCGTCCCTAATTTTTTACTGACAGACTAGAGGGAAGCAGCTAGTAAACACCACCCACCGCAATTCATGTGTTGCGCTCAAAAAGTGAGATTTCTCTGTCACTCCAATAACGTATTCATGGCCCCAAAGTGTGGAGAGCGACATTTTTGGAAATTATAGAACGTGAACTACAGAACCTAGGATCCACAGTCCGAAATGCAAACCAAAGCCTTTAAATGTAGAAGAAAGCTAAAAAATACAAACTGTTTTGGTTGTAAGTGCATTAAAGTAGAAACTCATTAAAGAAATAAATTTTGGCAGTTGTTGACTCAGAGTGTCTTACATTTGATGTAATCGTCGTTCATTGATGAGCTAATATTATTAAGCATCATTGGAGCTCATTCTGCCGTTCTTTATTTTATTGAATATGTTTGTTCATTTGAATAGTGGAAATTAATTCTTCATTTTTCTATTTTTAAAACATACGAAACAAAAATGGTAGAAATAATACATTGGCTGATAAAATATGAACATTTATAACATATGTAATTAGAAATTGATCATTATTGGTTGTCACTGGTGTTTTAGCTTCATATTTATATGTTAATATATAAGGGAAATAAATTTGGAAAACTATATTGAATTTTAGATAAGCTGAAGTCACTCGCTATATGTAATCAAAACACGTACAGCCAATGTTAAATAAAAACGGCGATTTTGTTTTCATAATTTTAGAACAATCCAGTTATAAAGCTGCCATTAACAAAAGAAAAAAATAATAAATGGTGGAAAATCCAGTGAGATCACTGACCGAAATATAATATACGAATAGTTTGTTATGGATTTTGTGCAAAGCTACACGAGGGCTATCTGCGCTAGCCGTCTCAATTTAGTAGTGTAAGACTAGAGGGAAGGCAGCTAGTCATCACCACCCTCCGCCAACTCTTGGGCTACTCTTTTACCAACGAATAGTGGGATTGACCGTGACATCGTAACGCCCCCACGGCTGAAAGGGTATCCGAATAGTAAAATACAAGAAAATCATATTAAACTAAATCAACATGTCATATTAAATGGGCTCTGATATTTTAGTTTAGGTTTAAGTGAACTTCCCATCTACAAATAAAATAATCAAAAATATGTATTGGTTTCTGTAATGGGATTTAAAACATTTATTTAAAATGATAATTCATTGGAACATTTCATAAAATATGCATTTTATACTGTCGTCTACTTGCTTGTTATCATATGTTTTCTGTATAAAGCTATAGGGTAATCAATAAAACTGAAAAAAAAAGTTTTTTTTTTATATAACAGTCTTTAATTTTGAATTATTTTTTTCTGATAAAAAGTTTTTGAGTCTATTTTTAATAATATATACATATATACGTGTATATAAAGTAGTCAAAGCACACTTTCATAGGTTTTCTTTTCTTTGTTTTTTTGTTGAGCATAAAGCTGCACAATGGGCTACCTGTACTGTGCCCAACACAAAGATCAAGCCTCGAAGTTCAACGTTATAAGTCCTCAAGTAAACCACAGCAAGAGCCGCCGGAAAGGAAACACTTTCAAAGGTAATAATAAAAGTCAACATAGAGGTGGTCAACCTTCTATTGTAGAAGAAAAATAAAAACAGTTTATATATATAAGTAGAAACTCAAATGTTTAATGAACAAATATATATCTCAGAGGTTTATACGAGGACCACTAGTATATGAAATATAAAGTATCTAAATGTTAATTGTCATAAAAAGTACAAAGTTATGTATCTGTGTGTGTATGTTATACATATAGAGAGAAAAAGATATTTCATCACGTGTAAGAACAACTAATACCAATAAAATTAGATTTCAGTTATATGGAAATTCTAATTAAATCATTTCTTTAACAAATAACTATAACCAGACACAGTTCCACCCTGTACTTAGAAGTATAATGATTTTTAATTTTATCTATTTCCCCAAGAACTAATTTTACACCCGAATGAAACGTTCAAGGAAGTCTTGCTTATTCCGTTCCTGTACTGTAGTAAAAGCAGAGTAGAAGAAGAGGACAACAAATTATAGGCAATGCGCAGCTTATCGAGTGTTCATAATTAGCTTTAGATATTGAATGATTACGTATTGACATTGACATTACGTATAGATCATTAAAGATGTACGTGAGTTAAAATAATGACCAGCTAAATATAAGAATTTTAACTCGAAATCAACGAAACGATGGGAAGGGAGCACTGCTAACAAAATTTGTGCTCTGTGGACTGAATAATACCAACATCAAACATGTAATTATTCATTCTGCCTTTAGAAATAGCACCTAATAGGACGAATGTTAAAATTGCTCTTTTGAAACGTTGCTAAAGCAATAGTAATAACATTAGTGCACCATATAAATGCTGTTGACTTGAAAACAGCCAACAATGAAAATAATCCAATAATGAGATTTATCCGAAGGTGATAAAAATTAACAACCATGAATGGGTGCTGACGCAACTCGAAATGATCGCTTACAACGTCCGTTGCAATTGTGGCGGAAGTCAATGAAACAATCATTATTATTTGAAAATAAATTCACTCAAGGGGAATACAATACCAGTAAAGTTGTTGGGTACATAAAATCTTACAATCTGGGAGGTCATGAGTAAGATAAAGAAACTGCGTCCCTACTGATTACAGACCACCCTTTAACTGCTGCCAGTTACATACTCCTACAATCAATAACGCTGAGATTATGTTCCTACATGTTACACATCTCACTTGAACTGATGCCAAGCACACCTTACTCCTTCAATTAAGAGTCTGGAATGTCATAATTAAGGCAATGAATCTGTATCCCTACAGGTTGTGACGGATTTACTATCATATATCTGTTTTAATATCTATGTTTGTATAAGTTAAATTGATATTTAGAAATGTAGATACCTTATGCTGTTAAATTTGTATTGCGAAATTACCGCCTATTCACTAAGAGTGTAGAAAATTTTCGAGTGTACAAATCAACAATATATGTGTGTTTGTGTGTGTATGTAAACATTGGTGTATCGTTTATATTGTTGTTTGTACATTTGCTGTTATGTTAAACTCATATTAAAGTTTTTCTTCATTACCCATTAAAGCCGTCTCCAAGCAGTATTGTTGGTTTATATTGTTGCATAAGCTCAAATGTCGATATAAAACTCCGAAGCTAGAAACTAGAAGTTAAAAACTCAATGAGAAAAAATGAACTAAAAAGTGTATTATTAAAATAATAGTCGATGATTTGTTGCCTAAGGAAGTATTAGATGAATGTTCCAGTGTCTCCACTGGCCAATCGAAGTTGAGTGATAAAGAGAAGTTAGAAATTCAGCTAAAGCTAAAACAAATCGAACATAAACAAGCTCGTATCGAAGGCGAAAAGGAGAAAGAACAAGCTCCTACTGAAGCTAAGAAAGAACAAGCTCTTATTGAAGCCAAGAAAGAACAGGCTTTTATCGAAGCAGAGAAAGAACAAGCTCGTATCGAAACTGAAAAAGAAAATAAACGTCTCGAGGCTGAAAAAGAAATTAAGGTGAAAGGAATGGAAATTAGACTCAACTTTGATCGACCAAGGCAAAATGAGAACTTTGAACTTAATCGATATGTTAAAGTACCACCATTCAATGAAAATGAAGTTGATAAATATTTCCAACAGTTTGAGAAGGTTGCCCAAATCATGAAATGGCCCACCGAAAAATGGTCATTATTATTGCAAAGTGTTTTAACTGGTAAAGCGCAAGAAGCTTATGCTGCTTTCTATTTAGAAGACTGTATGAATTATGACAGGGTTAAAGCAGCTATTCTCAAAGCATATGAGGTAGTACTGATGACTTATCGGCAAATGTTTTGAGGTTATTGCAAGCAAGATAATGAAACTTATATGGAATTTGTCCACGAAAAAGAGGTTTGATCGATGTGTAATTCTATTGGCAACAGTTTCGATAAACTAAGTCCATTCTGTCTAATTGAGGAGTTGTGCAGGTGGTGACCACAAAACGTACTTCGATAAAAAGAAAGTTGAAACATTACAGAAACCAGCTGCTCTTTCCAATGATTACACTTTAAAACATAAAACCACTTTTCAAAAAATAAATTACTGCCATCGCAGTAAAAACCTGTATCTGTTCAATCCACTAAAGTTGAGAATTCTTCTAAAAATCCAACTCCTATAGTTCGAAACCTTCTAACAGTCAGGACAAAACTTCATGAAAACCATCAAGGCCTGTCTGCCATTTTTGTAAATAACCTGGTCATGTTATATCCGAATGTTAGTGTTTGAAAAAGAAGAAAAGAAAAGGAGGGAACACCCAGTGCGTTTGTGTCCACATATTGACGTAGTTTCACCAGATCACTCGATGTTATTGATTTGGCCACTGATATAAGGGCTGATGTAGTCAGGGAGGAATTTAGACCATTTATGTCTGTTGGTTTTGTGTCTTTGACAAATGACACTGGCAATACCATATCAATACGTATTCTACGTAATACTGAGAAGATCCAAACATTGTTGTTAGATTATATTGCCTTTAAATTCGAGTTCTGCCACTGGTGAGTCTGTTATTGCTCAGAGTATTGAGGGTGGTTTTGTTAATGTTCCTCTTCATATCATTTATTCGGCATCAGACCCAGTTTCAGGACCAGTTGTGGTAGGAGTAAGACCTACTCTGCTAATTAAGGGTGTATCATTATTGTTGGGAAACGATATAGCTAGGGGAAAAGTTGTTGCCCAACCCAAAATGGTTAGTGAACTGTCCACTGTTTCATCTAAAGATGATGTTGTGATAGAGGAGAATCCCGATCTGTTTCTATCCTACTGTAACTCGAGTTCATGCTAAGAAATTAAGCCAAGAACAAATGATAGTCACGTATTCAGAGGATGATATTGTAGATTTGTTTCAGAGATATTTTGGGTCCAGTGAGGATCTTGTGGATGATTGGCCTACTGACGATTCCTCGATAAGTGACAATGATGGACGTGAGGGATCTGGTTCATCAGGTGAAGCTCTGTTTGCTAAAAGTAAACTGATCACTGAGCAAGAAAAGGATCCACAGATACATTCACTATTTAAATATTCACTCCAAAAAGATGAACCGAATAAAGTTCCAAATAGGTATTTTTTGAAACATGGTGTGCTTATGAGGAAATGGAGACCATCAGATGTGTCAGCGTCAGATGACTGGGCTGTAGTTTACCAAATAATTGTTCCCAAAGCATATCATTCTGAAATATTGAAAGTTGCACATGAAATCCCCATGAGAGATCATTTAGGTGTCAACAAGACATGTGTCAAAGTTATGTGACATTTCTTTTGGTCAAAAATTAGGCAAGATGTTTCTCAGTTTTGCAAAACTTCTCATACCTGTCAGTTGGTCGGAAAACATAACCAGAAAATTCCTGTTGCTCTTTTGAAACCTGTTCCAGCTTTCGAAGAACCCTTTGGTCGTGTAATTGTTGACTGTGTTGTACCTTTACCAAAAACTCGATCAGGGAACGAGTATTTGTTGATTATCATATGTGCATCTATTCGATTCCTGAAGTTACACCTTCGAGAAACATTTCAGCCCCAAAAATTTCTAAGGCTTTGATTAATTTCTTTATTTTGTTTGCTTACCTAAAGAAATTCAGTCTGATCAAAGATAAATTTTATGTCTGGGTTGTTTCAACAAGTTGTTTAGCAGACTGGTGCTAAACAGATAAAATCTAGAGCGTATCATCAGGAATTGCAAGGTGCTCTTGAGAGATTCCATTCTAACTTGAAAAATATCATGCGGACTTATTGTCTCGATAACGAGAAGGATTGGGATGAAGGATTTAATTTATTATTATTTGCTGTTCGTGAGTCAGTCCAGGAGTCGTTTGGGTTTAGCCCTTTTGAGTTAGTGTTTGGCCATTCAGTGTGTGATCCTTTGAAGTTGCTGAAGGAACAGTGGTTAGAGGACTACCCGAAAGAAATGAACTTATTGGATTACGTTTCCAAGTTTTGGTCCAGGCTCTTACGCTAGGGAAAATGTGAAGTCATCCGAAGCTAAACTGAAAAATATTTATGACCACAAGGCTGAAGAGCATAAGTTCTGTCCTGGTGACATGGTTTTAGTATTGTTACCACTATAAGGCATCCACTCAGCGCTAGGTATCATGGTCCCTATGAGGTTGTTCGGAAAGTTAATGATACGGAATATGTTGTAAAAACACCTGATCATCGAAGGGCAACCCAACTGTGTCACGTCAATATTTTGAAGCCTATCAAATCCGAGATTCATTCGAAAATAATTTAGCCATTGAGTGTTCTTCTGATACTGATGACAGTTGCATAGACTCAGACACCCATAAATTTGAAAATGTCGGAGATGAATGCAACATCAAACTGAGTAATTCTGCCATTCTGGCCAATAGAGATTCAAAACTCGATCACTTGTCTCATGAAGAAAAAAATTAAACTCCTAGTTTATTGACTGAATAAGAATGTATTTTTCTAGATTTTCCTAATCCAACCAACATTGCTGTTCATGATGTAGATGTAGGTGACACTTCTCCTGTGAAACAAACATCCCTATCATGGGAATTGAATCAAGGCCGATAAAATGCATGAAGAAATATCTTATATGCTGGAAAAAAGCATTGTATTGATTGTGTTATGTACTGTCATGATTACTGAAGTTGTATAATTCTTTGATAATGTATTATATTTAATGTATTGTTGTCAATGTATATATATAATATCTTAGGAGGAAGGTGTGACGGATTTACTATCAAATATCCATTTTAATATCAATGTTTGTTTAAGTTAAATTTTTATTTAGAAATGAACGTAACTTATACTGTTAAATTTGTATTGCAAAAGTCAACAATATATGTGTGTGTGTTAGTAAACATTGGTGTATCGTTTATATTGTTGCCTAAGCTGAACTTTCGAGAAACTCTCCTCACGCCTATAAATATAACCAACGCGACGCGCCAAAAGACAGTATATATTATTTGTTTGCTGTATTTGGTGTGCTACAAACCTCAAAAGCTATAACTGTGATTAATCGGGAACTTCAGATATTTGACCAGGAACGTTTATAGATTTCGAATATTACAAACCATTTAACTTCAGCAGATTCACATGGGACATTAGTATTTTTACGAAAACAGTATATAACTTCATCGGTAGACACTCCTACATTCAACACTCTGGGAGGACATAAGTGAAAAACAGACTCTCTTCCCATAGGTTACAGATCACCCGTGAACTGCTTCTAGGATACTTTTACGGGTTATACGTTGCTGTCTCATTCCTCCTGGTTCAAAAATTAATTAGTAACAATTGTTTAGTGAACATCTTATGAACTGATAAGACTCATTTTCATGGTCTACGTTAACATCCACAATTGTGTCATCTGAGATGAAAACAATTCACTTGCCTTTATGAAATGACGAATGCATGATTAGAAGGTGGAATATGAGTTGTATTCAAAGTATTTTGCTATTTATCCTCAAGTCCTTGAAGAATCCACAAAGGACTTGTGACAGTAAACGCTAACGACCCATCCATGATAGAACATGTTATTCCTTCACTTTAAGTAAGACGAATTTTGAGTGAAACATTCTTCATGTAAGATGGAGATAGTCCCACATGAAACAGATTGTCAAGAAGTTGCTGAAACATTGTTTCGGGAATCGAGCAATTAGAAAGCGGTTTCCACACACACACACACACATGGTAAGTCCAATCTCCAGATCTCACCCCTTCAGGTTTTTGGTTATGAACCATCTGAAATCATTGATTTACTGCATACGACGTGCCTGAAATATCGGTAGATCTGAAATATAGGATAGCAAGTAAAGTGTAACTATGGGAAATTGAGCAGTATCGTTCACCTATGTATCACGCTTTCTGACGAACAAGTAATGGGTATGAATGGCAGTCACATCGAACATTGTTAAGATGTTGATTGTGCAAACTCCAGTGTCAACATCTTCTAATGATAATTACTTTTAGCAATGGAGTCGCCCTTCCATTGCCTCATTAATTCACCTATTTAATATTACAGTCCTCTGATTACTGGTTTTGAATTACGGACATTAGGAGAAACCAAATAACTTTATAATAACCCTGTATAGGGTTGCTAAGTAATGTGAAGAAATACACGATGAAATTGGATTTATGTCATCCAGGAAAAATGACTTTGGCTGGTATTGAAATGTTTGATTTACACTAAATCGTTACAAGTTAACAAGAATGATCACTTAGCTTTACAAAATCGATTAAACCTTTAAATGACAAAAGTGTTTTAAATAGTGTATATTGTATAGTTTTCTTCTGTGACTTACCAACAATATTTAGTTGAACTAGAAACGTGATTTTCGGATCGGAACTAACTTGGCACTCGTAGATCCCCGCATCTGTTGTCTGTGGGTATTTGATCATTAGAGGCCAGTCTTGACCTCCTTCTATATGTGCAGAACTGAACCTGTCTTCGTTGATGTAAGTTTCAGTTCCAACCGTTAGAAGATGAAGATCCCTTCTTCGAATCCAGGATACCTGCAAAATATAAGAACCAGAAAACAAACAAAAACTGAACATAATCATGAGATATATGATTTTTTTAGCATTTTATATACATCATTTTCAGCACTTGTAGATTTCTGTACAGCCACTCTAACCTATATAAAAGCCAGTGTGTGTCACGTCACGAAGGATTTCTCGAAATAGGAGGATTTATAAAAGCTAAAATACATTTATCAAGATAGAATAGTTCGATTACGGTCTGCCCATTACAATTTTAGTAACGGGGATGCAAGGGGGCCATGGGGAGGGAGCCGTGAAACGTATAAGTGTAGCGAGTGTTGGTATAATAACCCTAAAGTAAAGACGTAGTGTGGTATCACATAGCTTAGAGCCAAGTAGGTAAAATTTATCATGAAAGTAAAATTATAGATTCATTTTTAACTTAAGTGGTATCTGAATTAAGCTATTCTATTATATCATCACAGTTTTTAATAAAAAAAAACAAACTCCTTTAATCAACAGAGACTCTAAATTAAGAAACCAACAGTTTTTGTTGTCTGTACATTTCATTTTATACTTTTAGTACATAGACTAACAACAATATTGCCCCCCAGTGGCACAGCGGTATGTCTGCGGACTTACAACGCTAGAATCCGGGTTTCGATACCCGTGGTGGGCAGAGCGCAGATAGCCCATTGTGTAGCTTTAGGCTTAATTACAAATAAACAATATTAGGTAATAATTTTGCTGCTAAGTGACATTGCATAAAATCCAATGTTAGAACGTAGTGTTATCAAAACGCACTGGCTTTTCTATATATTAGAAGTTGATAATCAAACACAATTTTACCAATAATTATTCTATGAATACGCCACGAATTCATTTCATGAATGATCTTAATTTTGATTAGCTCACAAAGGAATTTACCGACTTTTGACTGCCTCAACTGCACTTTTCTTCCTCGTTGTTGGTCAAACTTGATTTCGCAAAATTTATTTATTTCAGTTAGGTTAGGGTATACTATGGGGTGGGGGTGGTAGTATCTTCCCCGTCATTTTTGAAGGGCTATACGCTAGTGCATAAATAATTCCTACCTTTAACAAGTTTTCTCTTTTCGTATTATTACTTTAATTAAATCACATATTGGAAGACAGCCGATAGTACAATAACTCTATAAAGAATATCATATAACATATAAAGAATAACAAGTTAAGTGCGAAAACATCGATAACAGCAACGATACTTAGCTGATGACCTAAGGCTTTGTGGTAATAGAAGCTTTTAATAGTTTGCCTGTCACTCCTAATTAAGACTGATTATTATTAATTGTAGGTTTTATTGAAGATTTCTATCAGCTCTTCTAAAACGCATAATTTTCGGCATATTTCCTTTGTCAATCAAACTAATAATTTCACTTTCTAAAGGATGTACCATTATAAAATGTTTTAAGGCAAATTATTTTAAATCTGTAAAAACAAAAGCTAAATATGTATAGATTTCATTCATATGAGAGTGAAAAGTTCATTTACAGAAGTTGTTTGTTTTACAGGAAAGGTACATTGAGTTATCTACGGTGTCTTCCACGGGGAAACGAACCCGGATTTTAGAATTATAAGTCTGTAAAGTTACCTCTGACCCACCAGGGATTTTATAAAAGTAGAAGTGAAAATTATTTAATATGATTAACGTGTATGGCTTATTTGTCGCAATATTTTAGAACTTATATATATATATATATATTCAGAGAATCTGTTTGTTTATTTCAGAATTTTTGCGCAAAGCTATAACTTTATGAACTGAAATACAAAAGAGATGACAGCTTGTCAATAACACCATCCGCCAACTCTTGGGCTACTTTAATCAGATAGTGACACTTGACTGTTACTTTTTAAGTTTACTCACCCATTTGAAAATGTGGAGAGCAATTTTGCGGCAAAGAGATGTAAACTTTCGACCCCATATTCACAGCCTAGCACACAAAGTATTAATTCACATTCAGCTCAAATAAACGTATATTATGTAATGCTTCTAATATGGAGATTTTCAAGCTAACAAATAAGGAATCGTTTTCTTATAATACGTAATTTTGAAAAAAAGGCAAAATTATATTGATTATGTATCAAATGCAAATGAGCTAAGAAAAATATGTTGTAATAACATAAAAGCTAAATAATCAGTTTAGAAGACTTAGCGCAAGTTCACATTGCGAGGTTTCGAAGTAATGTTATTTCTATTTTAACTCTTTCTTACATATAAAACATTTAGTTGTAGAGGCAAAAAACTTAAGGTGTATTAATTTTCAACTACTGACCAGAGAGAAGGCAGACAGTCAGCAGCACCCTATAACCCACTATCCACGCTGAAGGATTAAATGTCACTGTTATAGGGCACTCACAGTTTAAAGTATGAATAATATTTTGCGTTATCGTATGAATTCGAACCCGGCTAGCCAGCTCTGAAATCTATAGCTTCGTGCATCATTAGGCAAATCAAGCATATGATGACCAACCATATGATCTGAAATGCAAATAACTAGTCATTCATCCTAAGTTTGCACTGTCTCTTTTTCATTTTGAATTGGATCACAATGTTTAGATAACACTACTTCAAATTGGTAGAAAATGTCTTTCAGAGAATGTCGAACTTCTCCTAAGCCAATTGACACAGGTAATTGTATACCTGAACAAGGCAGACTAGCATACGCAAAACAATCAGGCGACTGTGACTTCCCACAAGCGAACGATGCCTAAAATGAAACAGAATCAAATAAGCGCAGCCGCTAACTGGATGACGAGCCAAGATACAGATCGTTTGAAACAAACTTCATAAGAATAATATATATATGTAAGTTACATTCTACCTAATTCGGGAGGAAGCTATAACCAAATTCACACTCCATTTTCCTAAAGGAAAGTGACGTGAATAGCGGTGGTGAAAGAACGTTACTGTTAGGAATAAGTATTGGCAGATTCATCTATCTCCAGACTCTACGGGATGTTACCTTAGACCTTATTTCAGCCTTAAGTGTAATAATTTTTAATTCTTCGTGTTGAATTGTCGACTTTTCTTTTTAAATAGAATTTTCCGTGCGTAATGACTTGCACGATCACGGAATATGTACAGGACCCTCTCAGGAGCATTTCGTGCAGTGACTCACGGCTCTAAAGATTATGTGTAAAAAAGTATTTTAAACTGTAGATGGGTTCAAGTTATATCTTAGGATTTTAGAAACACCAGTTTTAAGAAGCGATGTCGATTCCGACTGCCAAGCTACTTGCTATAAATGTACTGCACATTAATTAATGTTAAATAGCATGAACTTTAAAGATATAGAACAACAGTTCTCAAATTTCTATTTACTAGCTTGAGCTAAATAGCCGCAAACAGTTAAAGAAAGAATAATTCCCATCATGTTCTCAGACATGTCTTTAACCAATATAATCTAAACAAGATATGGAAATAGAACTAAGCTATTATTTATTGAAAGTTAAAACTTATGTGAAGCGAGGTAAATAACTGCATCCCTAAAAATAAACTTAACAGCAAACAATAGAAAAATAAATAATGACTTGTAAAATGCAGGGAAAATGATTTTGAACGAAACAATAAGCGAACAACAGAGATTAAATAACCCTCTATAAGTGAAAGAAATTGTATGTATTTAATCATATTGGCTTAAACAACAACGGCTGAGGATTTTAACATGCTCTTCACTGTTAGAAAAGATATAATAAAAACTAACTACGTTGATGAAAAATAAGAACCAGGTAATTCATGAATAAAATGAAGATATTATTGTTAACCTATTAAACCAACCTTTAACAGAAACACAGTCAAGGATCTTAAATGATAGCTCGAAATATGCAATAATCCCAAAAATATGCAAAATTCCTACAGTAATTGAAGATACAAGAAATACAAAAAATAGAAGTAATGAAACCAGCACAAAGAAAATAAACAATCATTTAAAAAAGGAAGCCAGTTTTCAACCGGAAGAAGACAATTATCATTTCACAAACTTCATTAGACCAAACGAAAATTGACTTTAACGTAAATAATTTAAGTCTTGTGGTAGATCGACAATAATCTTACAACGCTAAAATCGAGGATTCCTTTTCACCGTGGTAGACATAGAGCAGATAGCCCATTTTGTAGCTTTAAGATAAAAAATATTAACAGCTATATTAACAATATTTCAAAACGAAGAAAATGAAATAAAACTGTCGTTATGAATACTGAAACACTATAATAAATTAATCTAAGAAAATTGAAATGATGATGAAACGTTTAAAAATGTTATATGGATCTAAACTAATAATATGAAAAACGACTTTATGTATTCTAGCTTAAAATGAAGAGAAATGGCATTATAAACAAAGATCTGTAACAAAACTTAAGAATTACAGATGGGCGCACACAATGTTTATATGGTGTCCTTAAGATACAGAAAAAACACAGTTGGAATATGACCAATCTTATCTGCATGTGTCAGTTATAAGATTTCAAAATTTCTAATTTGTTTAATTACTCCTTTTATGCTCACCATGAAAACTCAATCGTTTTGAATTAATCAGAATAGGTCTGTTTGTAGTTAAGCACAAAGCTACACAATGGGCCATCTGTGCTCTGCCCACCACGGGTATCGAAACCTGGTTTCTAGCGTTTTAAGTCCGCAGACATACCGCTGTGCCA